AATTAGGCAAAAAGAAAAATCTATAATAAGAAGTTTTTGGCTTGTATCGATGCATCAAAACTGGAAGCGATGATTTACGACATGCAGACAATTCGCCTAATAAAGACAGCTAAAAACTGAATTATTGGCCTAGGGCCAAAAATTGCTTCTAAGTATTAATTAAGTCTTTCAGTTCAAATACATTTCAATTAAGCAACTGTGAGATGAAAACTGAACCGATTTGTAGGTTTATGGGTTTGTAGGTTGATTCAATTCTATCTTTTCATTCCTAGATAGAACATATAAAAATTCGATTGACGGAACCGAGTGGCAGTTTGCGATAGCTAAGATTTTATATATCTTGGCATAAGTTTTTAATTTACTATCGCAGTACGGTCAAAAAAATACCAAGCCTGGCATTCTCCTAATTTTTGTAGTTTTTCATTTTTGTGCTTACTTTTATACTTTGGAAACTTTTTTTTGTTTAAGTTAGTCGAAAGTAGCACGACAGCACACAACTCATAAAATATCTAAGATAACGAAATTATCCTTTTTTTGAGAATACTTCAACCGGAGAAGTTAATGAAGTGTTTGAGAAAATTAATAACTGAAACAACTTTCTAACTGAAACAACTTTAAGAGTTATAATCAAAGTGAGCACCTAATCAAAAAAAATTGGTGCAGTTTTTTTTAAAAAACTGAGTTCTTTTTTGAATCAATGTAGACCTGACCTTTAATTTTTGCTTTTTTAAGACTAAAACTCATGCAAAACCATTAAAAAAGCTGAAAGTTAGGTTGTTCAAATTACCGACCTATATCTTTGCTACCAAATATGAAAAAAAACAGAACATGAAGAAAATATGAAGAAAATTGATTTAAAACCGTCTGCAAAACTTTTGAGCATATATCATGCATTAACATCAAGTCAGGACGACTTCCCAGAAAGATGTAAAGTTGTTGCTATCTTGAATAGTTGTTTTCTTCATAAAATAAAAGACATTTAAATTTTGACGAACTTTTTTTACACATGTTTTTGTGACATTTCATCTCTTTGTTATCATTTTTGGTAACAAAGTTACCAAAAATTATGCAATGGTCTCAGTTTTTTCTCCTTTTTTGTTACTTTTGAAGATTTTTTGAGTGTTTTAAGTGCTGTCTATTTGAACTCAATTACAAAAAGTAAGCGAATAGTTTTTGGTCATGCAAACGCCACACGACAGGCTGATGTCTTTTTGGTTTTTTCCAAAACGAACAAAAAATGTAAGCATACAGTTTCATTATGACAAAAAGCATACAGTATGAGAAAATACACTCTAATCACTAGCATTGAAGAATGCATTGTAGCAAAACTTGAAATCAATAGTTTTCTGTTTGAAGGAGCCGTGATGTAAACCCCTCTTCTTTTATCTATCAATAAGATAGTTGTTGGAAAACAACCACTCGCCCTCAAAATCATTTATCATCTGTGGTCTTTTTAAATTGAAATTCTAAGAAACATTTAGCTATGCAAAAAAATATAATAGCTGAAAAGCATAATAGTTTCTTCTCATTATGGCACCAAACTTCGAAAGAACATGCGTTGCCTACCATTAACCCTTTTGAACAAGCTGATGCCATCAGTTTTACGGCATATAATTACAACCCTCTTTCTTTTATCTATCAATAAGATAGTTGTTGGAAAACAACCACTCGCCCTCAAAATCATTTATCATCTGTGGTCTTTTTAAATTGAAATTCTAAGAAACATTTAGCTATGCAAAAAAATATAATAGCTGAAAAGCATAATAGTTTCTTCTCATTATGGCACTAAACTTCGAAAGAACATGCGTTGCCTACCATTAACCCTTTTGAACAAGCTGATGCCATCAGTTAAACGGCATATAGTTACAGAATGTGAAGTCCAAACAAAACCCGATAATCTCGACAATGATCAATTATTGGGAGTTGACAGTACGAACAACAACTTTTTTTGGCATCTGCAACCATTATTTTTTTGCTTTCGCTCCCAACAAATCCTTCCTCCAAGGCGTTTTCTCCGAAGAATCAAAAAGATCACAGTAACTATTTTGCATAAGAGGGATTTAGATTGGATGAAAAGAATTACGAACCAAAATCGCTCGGGTTTGTCAGACGTAAATAACTTGGTCGAACAAGCTATGTTGACAGGAACTTACTATTCATTTGAGAAACTTACTCTGATTATTTTGCTGTAAGTTTGATTTTCAATTGATGATTTAACTGAAAAATAGCGTTCAAGTGGCAAGCCTTGTTTAATTACTTTCTTTTTTTACTTAAGAAAACTATTTATTACAATAGAACTTCCTTTTATGTTACAGAAATTCAAATTATACGGCATAATAGTTAATACCAATCATTGGTTTGACTCTCCTTTAAGGGAAAGAATGCAACAGATGAAAAAACTCATAAATGGCCCACAATAACATGTGATGTTCCTCAAAACAGATATATTAGGTCGATTACTGTTTCTTGTTGATTTCAAGCCTGTAAAAACATCAGAAGTTATTCCTTTTGCAGATGACACTAATGCCGCTGAATTACGACAAGCACATATTTTGATTATTAAAGACAGCTAAAAATAGAATTATTGGTCTAAAACCAAAAAATTGATTCTAAATATGAATAAAGTCTTTCACTTCAATGACATTTCATTAAGCAACTGTGAGACAAAAACTGAACCGGTTTGTGGGTTTGTGGGCTTGTAGGTTGAATAAAGTCTCTTTTTTCTTTCCTGGATAGACCATTTAAAACGCGATTGACGAAACCGTGAGGCATTTTTTGATGGATAAGATTTCATACACGTAAGCATCAGTTTCTAGTTTACTATCGCAGTACAGTCAAAGAACTAGCAAGCCTGGCATTCTCTTTATTGTTGTAGTTTTCATCCTTGATGCCAACTTTTATACTTTGGAAACTTATTTTGTTGAATCAGGTCAGAAATTAGTTGAAGGTAGCATGACAGCACACAATTCAAATAATGTTATAGATTTTGAAACTATCCTTTTTTTGAAAAAAACCTCAACTAAAAACATTTATGAAATTTTTGAGAAAATTAATAACTAAAACAACTTTTAGCAACTAATCAAAAATATTTAGTCCCCTTTTTTTGAAAGACAGAGTTATTTTTTGAATCAAAATGTAGAGGTGACATTTTATCCTTTTTTTAAGATTGAAACTCAAACAAATCAGTAAAAAAATTGAAAATCAGGCTGCTGTAAAACTATCAACCTATATCTCTGCGACCAAATATGAAAAAAAATGTGAAAAAAAAATTGATTAAAAACCGTCTGCGAAGTTTTTTGTGAAAATAGAAAAATACAAAACACAAACATATTTAGGAAATAGCAAGCTCTATGGTTTACGAGGCCATGTTTTCAATTTTGTGCAGGAAAGTAAAATTATTTGTATTAAAATTTTATTTGTTAATTGGTTGCAATATGCTGAAAATGGGAATCTGCCAACTCTGGTTGCAATTGGGTGACAGTGAGAATAGGATAATGGAATGTAACTTAAATTATTTTTTATACATATTGGTTTCATTCATTACCGTCCACTAAAAATTAGGCTCATTCAGTACGTTTTCCTGAAAAATGAGCTCTTTAACTGGATCCATGGAAAAAATAGACTATTTGTGCTCGTGATGGATTTTTTTCTCAAAACAAATATCAACTTTTGACGGATTTAGTAAACAAGAATCGGAAAGTAGTTTTGTATTAAGCTCAAATGTAAAAAAAACTTATTTCACCTGTGATCATTTTTTTATAAAGTTTTCGTATTTAAAGATTGCCAATTTGGCCAATTTGGGACATTTAATGTGGGATATGAGCCAGGCAATTAACGCGTTTTTAATTTTTCAAATGAAATTTCCCAAATTAATCAAGAAGACTCGTACATTCCGACAGCAATTTAAGGATACATTTAACATTTTTTGCTTCAAAAATTGACGAAGTAATTTTAAGAATCACAAAAAAACTGTTTTTTTTTTTTTTTTCAATTTTTACCCCAACACGCTAAAATAAACTACAAAAATATGGAGTTAGCGTCTTGTATCTTGATCATACGACCAAATGACTGACCTCAATTCAATTTGAAACGCATGAACCCGCCGCTTACCCGTGTTATCGTGATTTAGTTATCCCAAATGTCCCAAAATTTTCAAGCCCCCATAAATTTACAAAAATGATCACATTTAAAGTAATTTTTGAAAATCATTTCAAATGTTTTATAAAATCTTTCCAAGTATGCTGAGTGAAAAATCGAAACCTGACTGATACAAAAACGCAAGCATAATTATTCCGAACTTTCTTCAAAATTCTGAAGAATGAGGGATGCCGTTTAGTCTGATTAATAATTTGCTACATCTGAAATATGTTACTTGGTACTTAACTAAGCGCCTGAGGGACTTTCTTGATTTTTTTTTGAAAGTTTACCAATCATCCTCAAGCTTAAATGTTTAACAAAAAGCCTATTTCTTCGTTAAGCCATTATCGTGGGTTCTGCCTGAGATGGTTAGCCTGTCTAAGCATAGTTTGTGTTATATTTTCAACACATTCCAGACTGACCAGACTGAATTTTTTTGTTTGGGAAGGCTTTTTTGCGACTCAAGGCCATTAGAATTCTCACGTGGTACTACTATTGCAGCTGAAATTGGTCAGGCTATGGTAGACCTGAAGGTAGAGGTCGAAGTGAAACTACAGATCGTCTCTTCACACTATCATTGCCATGGCAGGGGATTTAAAACAAATCCAAAATCTGGTCAAATGGAAAGCAAATTGTAAAACTTTTTTGTTCGTCAATAACTACTAAGTAAATTTTTTAACGCACATACTATTTTGACTATTGTTATGTCCTATCTGATAGATGTGGTGTCAAAGCGGCACTAATTTTTTTTCCCAATGCAAGATTCGCGTCTCGTCATCTTGTTAGTTAACAACTAATATCTTGTTCATAGAAAATAATACGAAATTTGTTTTTGAAGGAAAAAGAATTTTATGTAAAGGGAAAACTGTTTATATAATTGTTCAGACGTTCCATTTTGTCTACTTTTTTCATTTCTTTTCTAGTTTCACAACATCACTTCAGAACACAAATCCAATGTTTGTGTTTGAACACACATTTGTCGGAACAGCAGGAGGCTGGTATTGTGGAGGGGTATGAGTGATGACAGGGGGTACATGGTACTGGTTTGGGTACTGCACTTGGTTGGGGAGGTAGTAGCCAGGTGCTGAGGGCAACACGGGTGCTTGCATTGTGTATTGGACGGCAGGAACTGTCGATTGCATTGCAGGTCGAGTATCACTTCCTAATGGATAAGAAAACAGTTTAAACATGATATGATTTGCAGTTGATATTTCGGATCTCTTTACCTATTCCGACCATTTTACCAAGGAGGATGGGTTTCGTTGCAAGGAATATTAATAATGGAATGTACTGACACAGTCATTTAATTGGTTATTAGGTTGAATATTCTCAACCAGAAACATATCGTGGGACTTATGAAAGAGATCCGATAGTTCAAACACGACTTTTCGTATATCGCGGCTAATACCCGAGAGTTCTGACTGCCTTTTTGTACGTTTAAATATCATCAAGGAAAGTGTCCTTATAACATTTCTGCTTGGAAACACATAGATTACCGGTTCGATCCTCAGTCTGTATTTTTCTTTCACTTGGGTTTTTATTGAATTTGAATAAAGAGCCACCTTATACATATGCCTATTCCACCCAGAGCATATTCACAACCATGAAAACCACACCAAGCATATTCTTTCCTTTTTCAAATATCGGAGCAACAATGTGTTTTAAAATTGCTATATATTCATAGTATTATGAAATTTAGTTTCATTTTACCATATGGTGTCAGAAACTGCCTGATATACAAGAAATAACTAATTATTGAAGCTAAATGGAGAAAAAGATACGATAAATTTTAGAACTCTTTATATCCCGGGTCGAGGTGCTCGGTTTATCTTTCAACTCTCTCGGCCGAAATTCGATATCTTCCGACTTTCTCGGCCGAAATTCGATATCTTCCGACTTTCGCGGCCGAAGTTTTGTTTGTTCGACCCTGCATAGATATGTTTCGACTTTTTCGACCAAAAATGGGTATAATTCGACTGTTTCGACTTTTTCGACAGGTAAAACATGTGGGTTCGACTTTGTGCTCGAATTAAAATTGTTTCTTGACCGCGGATTTTTAGTCGAAAAACTGCACTTGCTAGTTAAAAAAAACTTCGGTGAACCAGGCGCGGATTTAGGGAAAGGGGTGAGGGAGGGGGTTGGGGTGCGGACGCTCCTCCCCTCAGAGATTCGACCCCTGCCGTCCCAACGGGTCCCCCTTTGTGCTATTTTGACACATCCATTTTTGGCTGACTGACCCTAAAATTTTTCTAGAGGAGTGAGCGCGCGCCGAAAAAACAATTTTTTGTAAAAGTTTTTCAAAAAGTGCCTCAAAACGTATTTTTTTAAGCATTTTTTCAAAATGTTGCCTGCGGCGCAAAAAATTTGGTCAAAACAGGGTCTTTGGGTCTTTTTAGTTCTTTGGATGAGCTCGGAAAATCAATTTATCAATTTAGTCGACCCAAAAAAAAGTCGATAAAATTTTGAAATTTTTTGAAAATCCGCCCCCACGAGAAAATCCTAGATCCGCTCTAGCTGTGATCACTTCTTTAATTAATTTATTCCATGAAGAACATGCGACCTTAAAGGCTTCAAAAATTGAGATATAGCTGTTAATAATTTGACAGTTCAACCAAGAATGTTTATTATAGTTTTCATCAAACTAATATGTTTGCTCTTTCTTTTAGTCGACTCGAATGCTCCTGTAAGCAATAATTGCTAAATGAAATCATGATAGAGAATAACTTCAGTTCGTTTGATGAATCAGGAAACTTCAGTGTCAGCTGAATAGAAAAAATGTTACAGTTTATCTTGTGTTCAATAATTTTCTCGTTAATTAAATATGGTCAAGGTATTAATAATTCTGACATCATCATAGAATCTGCAGCTGAACCGATTTGGACTTCTACTCTCTTCGCAATTCCTACCCTAATTCCAGGCACATCTTTCTGGTCTGTGTGCAGATTGCAAAGTATTTACTACTGCCTTAATGCATTTGAAACTAAGGTCAATAAAAGGCTAATAAATATCATGGCAGAAAGTCCAATTGGCAACATTTTCCCAAAAGTCTTTTAAAACATCCCAATATAAGTACGGATTTTCAACATTTTAACTAATGCACTCTGATTGGTTGATCTAAGTATTAGCCATTAGGTTTTTTTTTGTTTCTGCTATGATGGATTCAGCGAATTTAACGTCGAAACCGGCTATCTACATTGAAGTTTCTGTAAGGTTTTTTAACCATGGAAATGAATCAATAAATAGGCCTGTAAATTGAAATTACTGTACAACGTTTTTAAATTTGATTCAAGACCGCTCTTATATCAAGGCAAAGCTTTGAATGTTCCGACTGCCCCTTAACCCATATCGAATAGTTTTTGGGAAAAGAAAAAACTGGGCCGAGTCAAAATTGGGCGACGGATTAGCTAGCCTCAATTCAATTTGGAACGTTTTGTTGTGCGGGATAATTCGCCTCGCATAGATCATTTGCGATACGCTCTCAACATTATGAATGAAATTATCAAAGCACGCATAAATTAGTTCAGAGCATGGCCAAGTTGGCAGTTTTCAAACTCCCAGAACTTTGCAAAATTGATTGGAGGTAAATATCTTTTTGAATTTGATTTTAGGAACATTATTGCACCGCTTACGCGTGTTATAGGACTGCTATATACCCCGCATGAATTCTCCCAAACTGGCCAAATTAACAATATTCAAACCCACATGACTTTACTACAATAGATCACAGACAAAAATTTCTTTCAAAATTTGAGCTCAGTAAAACAAAACTTTTCAGATAGTATTAAGAACCGTAAAAAAAGTTGATTGAAAAGTTTAAAATTGACTGAATAAAAAACCACCCCAAGCATAAACATCCCGCTTTTTTTTCAAAAGTCGGAATAATAACCCACTCTTGTGCTATTTTGCTGCCAAAATGCTTTACCTTCCTAAAACCAAGTTCGTTAACTGAAAAAAAACGAGGCACTGACTTTGAAGTGTTTACGAAACAAAAAAACTGCTCGTATCAAGGCGACAAATTTAGAGTTTTTTTCTTGATTGCTTTTCAAAACGATCCCTTCACGCTATGTGAAGTCCAAATTGTAATATTTAGCATAGTTTAAAATATTAAACAGACTTACAAGTTATTTATCCCAAATTGGGCAAACTGGCAATGTACAAACCCCATAATTTCTCAAAAATTGATTACTGGTAAAATATCTTTCAAAAATTGCATTCAAAATTAATAGTTTTTTGACGATTCAAAAAAATGCGTTAAAAAGTTTAATTTGGTCTGGAGAAAAAAAACAAACCCAAGCTCAAAGATTCTGTCACTTTCCAAAAAAAATGAATAATAAGGTTTCTTAGTGCTTTCATGATTCAAGCGTAATCATTTTAGGCAGTATGTCACTAATTGTTTTGACTTTTGAAGAAATTGACGGAAGATTTATGCTCGGACTGCTTTTTTCCTCCAGACCAATTTCGACGTTTTAACTATCCATGTTTCAAAGGATTTTTTTAACCATTTGAAAAACATTTGCGACCTGAACTCAAATGTTAGAAAATTATATAATTCAGCGGTGATCAGACATATTAAAAGGTATATTTCAGAGTTAAATTGCCTAACTTGGGAGAATTAACGTACGATATAATTCGTTCTATTTACGCCTAAGCGGTCAGTTAATCCGCTCATTAATTGAACTAAATCAAATTGAGGAAAGAAACTTGGCTGTTTTATTATCATACGAGACGCTAAGAGAATCACTTTGTACTTGGCTTTGCATGTAGTGCTTTTTGCAAAATCTGAAGAAAAAAAACTTTTTTTTGAAAGTTTTATCAAATTTTTCCAATTGTGTATGCAAAAACTGTTTCAATAACGTTGAAGAACAATCGTATCATTTAAGGCGTCGCCCTGATGCGAGTATCAACTCTTATAATAGAAACTGCGATGTTATTATCCACTTCATAAATGGGCGCATAATATTTCCTCCTTTGCAAAATAGTTTGAAAAAAGTTCAACGAAGATAGCCGGTTACATCTGAAAGTATGAAACAATTGGAGGTGTTGAGCCTGACAGGGCTGTTAAATTTGTCAACGCTGAGCAAAATGACGCCTTTGATGCGACTTTATCTCGATTGAGCGAGTTGAAAAGTTTCGCAATCAGAGAAAGCATTAAAGTCTTCCAACCAATATTTCGCCAGCATAACTATTTTGTGGCCCACCAAGATTGCTGTTTTGGGCAGTATTACTCTTATTTTACATATGGGTTCATTGAGGCATTATTGAGTCCAGCAGAGTATCTTGGTTTGCTTTTAGTACCCTTTTTAATAGCATTAAGGTGATAACATTAAGGTTAAAATTATATATATAACTCAATTAGAGCCCTACCACAATTCTTTGAGATGAAGTTAGTTAGATGGATCATGATTGGTTAATATTAAATACTTTACAGTGGTAAAATATCTAATTTATCCAATCATAAAATGTAGTTTAGATCAGGTTCCAAAAGACAATTTTTAAGAATTTTTCGTGGTTACGGTCAGCTTATGGACCATTTCTCTCTCAGATCTTTTTGGTTTTATTCAAGTCTAAGCACCACTGAAGTCATATCTTTTCTATTCAATATTCGCCCCAAATCAACAGACACGAATAACTAAATGCATTGTTTTTTTTATCCCATACTCTAATGCTCTTCCAGATCTCCAGGTCCATAGGATAATCAGTTAGTTGAAGATACAAGTGTGCTTTGAACAATTGATTTTTTCCTCTCTCCTCTTCAAAACTTTTACGAGACTCAAAAATTTGAGGAGTTGTGCTCTTCATCACCTTGTCTGTTTTGGTACGCATACCCCCGGATTCAATTCCTTTCCATAATCAGTCGAAGCATAGTAACTTTGCTTTGTGAAATCCTTCTGTGAAATCCTTCTCCTCAGATCGGTCTCCATTAATTCTATAAGCTTTCTCCCACATAACGGCTTCGTCAACTGAGCTGCTGGCATGATTCTGTGGCATGCACATGTAGTGATAACTAATGTTATCATAAAAGATTACATATCATTGCTGTAATTATGTTTTGAAAGTTATGTCGGTGTCCCATCCATCAAATGATTCCCTTCCAGAAACCCCCCATCTTCCTCTTTCATCTCCGCTGTTATCGATTTTGCCTCAAAATCGTTTGACTGTATC